CCCCACTTCCCACCCCCCCCGAAGTAGTGGAGAAGAAAAGACAATATAGCAGCAACAGCAGCAGCAACGAAAGTTTGCTGGGCAGATTCCGTGTATCATGCCATAAAGTCTGACCGATCCAACAAATAGTGGATCCTGAGGAGATTTCGGACGCCACTATAGTTTATCTCGATGCTGCTTGATGTGAACCTACTTGGGCTGGGCCACTGTGCTCGAAAACAAAAACAAACACACACACATTTCTGCAAGTCGTGCGCGCAGCACGCACGCACGCACGCACACAGAGAGAGACCGCCATAGTACTTCTATTTTGCAAGGGAGCAACGCATCACTTACCAAAGCTGGAGGGAAGATTGTCTGCACAGGCTGCCAGTACAGGCTTGAGAACTGAGTAACTGGAAGAAAAGTTGGGAAGAGGTGTGCGTGTGTGCGTGTGTGCTTTATTTCCCCCTTCCTTTTTTTAAAAAGGAAGCCACAGGGAAGTAACAGCACAGCGCTCTCTTGCTCTTTCTGGCTGCCACCACCGAAACAAAGATCTGGGAGTTTAGAGAGCCAGACCATCTATACACACAGAGAGAGGGAGAGAGGGAGAGGGAGAGGGGCAAAGACGGGGGAGATTATATTTAGGGCCAAATCTCAGTTCCACATTTCCCTCGAGCTAACTGGAAGAATTAAGGCTCCGGAGGTAAGAGACAGAGAGGGGAGGGCGCGGGGAATCCGGTCCCCTGACAATAACTACTGTTTTGTAAACAAAGCCGTTTGCCGACAACGCTCCATGGTGGCGGGGTGTGTTTCGGGAGGAGGGGGAAGCAGTCGTGTTTTGGGGAAGGAAAGGAACGCATGTTCTAAAAAAAGCCAGATACGTAAAATCAAAAGTGAATGTCGAGGCAACGAAAGAGATGCCTCGTTGTATAGCTCGTTCTCGCTCCCTCGCTCTGGTGGTGTACGGATAGAGAGAAGCAGATAGATGTACCTGTTGCCCTGGCTTTTTTGAGGGGGGGGAAATGCCTTTGATACAAGCGACTTTAAATAACTTCCTTCTGGAAGAGGAAACTGAGAGGGGGCTGTACAGATTAACAGGTTCCATGCACCATGCAAATAGGGAACAGTGTCTAAAACGTGCACGGATCGCAATAATAATAATAGAGAAAGTAGGGGAAGATGATCAACAGTTGTGACGTTGGAGGTTTTTCCACCGCCGTTTCGAAGGAAAAGAAACCCATCTGTTTACATAAAGAATGACCGGTCACGTGAATAAGGTGTGTCCCTGCGCACGCGCGCGTCTCTCGACTTCAATCCTCTTTTTAAAAGTCCCTTCGAAAGCAGAGCTATAAATATGCCCTATGGACGTTAGATTGTAGGGCTATAATAAGCTTACGTTTAGGCTTTTGGTGAGTATATTTTTTTTTAAAAAAAATCCTTATTTAAATTCTTATGGTAAAAAAAAATCTGCGGAAAAGATCTTCCAAATCAAACTCGAACTCACTCCTATTTCTGTTTACAGGTTAAGACTGATTTATTTTCCAGCGCAAGGTGCGTACTTGGATACTGTGGTGCCGACCTTTTACGCCAATTATCAGAAGGATGTTTGTTTATATTATTATTTAAGAATTAAATGCATTGCTTGCTAAAAGTGCAGGACGTTTGGGGTGCCCACAATGAAGTGGGTACCTTGCCCCATGACCATTTTACGTGATCATCTTCGAACCACACAACTGGAAGAGACCCTCTGGATCATCGAGTCCAGCTCCTGTGAAGGAGGCCCAGTGCGGAATCGAACTCGGAACCTCTGGCTCGGCAACCAGATCCCTAAACCACTGAGCACCGTACATAACAGTCGTGATGTACGTCAACCTGTAGTTAATAATTCTATACTTCATTGTCTGAAGAAGTGGATTGTAAGCCAGGAAAAATCACTGAAATAAATCAGTTAGCTTTTAAAGTTCTGTCATACTTTTGTTTTTATTTGTTTTGTTTTTGTTATATGCACCAGCGAGGATAGCTCAGTGGTTTAGGGATCTGGCTGTGGGACCGGAAGTTGGGAGTTCGATTCTCCACTGGGCCTCCTTGACAGGGGGCTGGACTCGATGATCCAGAGGGTCACTGCCCACCTCTGCAGATCTTACCATGGTTGTTGTTAATTGTTATTTATGTGACCGAATTCTGTTCAAGCCTTGCTTTTTCTCAAAACGCCCGTCTATGACCACTGAAGATGATTTGAGCCAGTCTGAAGAAGGACAGAAGGGGGGAGGGGAATGGCAAAAATTGTAGAGTTTTCTGATATTTTTTAAAAATTAATTAACTAAGTGTGGGGGGGAGTAATCTCTGAGTACTTCCCACCACACTGGATGAGAGATTTTCCTATTTCACACACATTTAGCCTCACATACAGATGAGGGAAGCTTAAGAACTGTTAAGAATTAACTTAAGTCAGTGCCCTCTTGCTGACTTCAGTGGGACGCTGTGAGATGAAATCCAAGAGCTTTGACCGAATTGTGAAAGCTAGGCTAAACATAGTTTAAACAGTCGACTGCTGTTCACCTAGTGTGGGATTTCATCCCCTCAACAAGGTCTAAAAAACCATCACTTCTCATGTGTAATTTCATTGGTTCCGCTGTCCCCCCCCCTTCACATTGCTCATTAGGGTGATTCTGTTTTATAATTCCCCCCGCCTCTTTTTTTTAAAACCCAGGGTACATACAAGTGAGGAAATTTACGCATATTTATCTAGAAAAATGAGAGCCGTTCAAACCAGTCATATTTCATGCGGTTTTGTCTGCTGTTTAGCTGACTAGTAGGCTAAAATCTGCAAATACATTACGCCGTGGCTTAGGAAGGAAGACAGCTAGTCAAACAGAGTAGGGCCGAGAGAAGCACCAGCTATAGCACACAAGAACGCTTTCCTTGAATTTTTCACCGGGCGTCCGCCCTGTAGGATCTTGCCAGCTCTCAAGCGACGGGGTTAAACGGGCTCAGCCCCCGCCACCACCACCCCAAAATTATTCGGATTGAAAAGTCCGGCTGAAAAATCTGTTACATGAGACGGACTTATGAACCAAAATGATGAATTATCTGGAGAACTGGACTTTTCAGCGGACAAAAAACAAAAACAAAAAAACTCCACCCTGGGGCCTAAAGGAATAAAATAAAATTCTTTTAAAAAAAGGAAGTCACCGAAAGATCGCATCTCATGGATTTGATAACAAAGGACGAAGTAGCATCAAGCCCATAAACAGGGATCTATCCCATATAAACAGTTCTGAGTCGCTTCCTCTGGGCTTTCTGGCCGAAGCGAAGTGAAATGTCTGTTCATCATTGTGGTTGCAGTCAAAGAATGGACGCTTCCTGAGAACGGCCTGCCGCCGCTGCTCCTGCTGCTCTCTCTCTCTCTCTCTCTCTCTGTGTGTGTGTGTGTGTGTGTGTGTGTGTGTGTGTGTACGCGCGCGTGTGCTGCCCTGTTGTATCTCTGATCAGGTTTATGAACCTTCTGTGCCTTGTTTTATTACGATCATACTTAAACCAGCGACGTCTGAAAACAAACACGTGCATATATTCCCCTAGCAAACTATTTTGGGAGCTACGCCAGCGGTTTCCCGATGATTTAGCCTCTGTGTGGTTACCTTCTCTAGACAGTTTAGGAAGTGCTGGGAGTTATAAATATTCAACAGCACGTGGAAGCGGTGCCCAAGCGTGGGGAAAGCGCATGCGCAGCCGAGGCAACATCAAACGCCAGGCGCTGTGTGTGTGTACTTAAAGAGAAAAGCCTGTTTCATGTGTGGCATTGGAAAACTCTTTTCAGAAACCCCTGGCAGCCTTGATGCAGCCAGAAAACACAGCGAGGCTTCTAAAACCGCGATATTTTCTTGTTTTCCAGGAACTCTCCTTAATCAAAAGTAAGGCACGGCGTTATTAACTATCTGTACATTCCCAGATTCATCCCCCCTCCCCGAAAGAGGCAGTATCGAAAAGAAAACACACGGTTCGGAGGGTGGCTGTTTGTTTGTTAATGCCATTTCTTTCGTCTTCCTCTGTTATTGCTCGGTTTCCAAAGAGTAACGGCACATGCAGTTAGGTAACTCACAATACAAGTAATTGAGGGGGGGGTTAATAGAAAATACGCGTGAGGAAGGCACGCATGCAATTTATTTATTTACTTATTTATTGCTTGCATTTTTATGTCGCCTATCTCGTGGCGAAAATACATATTCAAGGTTATATGTTTTGTTTTTATATTTCCATACTGTGTAATACATATTCAAACAATGGCTTACTCCGAGTAGCATTAAGCCCCTTTGAAGACCCGTTGATTACAAGAAATCTGAGGTAAACACATCGGTAACATTCCCAGTGAGCGGGTCTTTAAAGTGCTTAATTTTGCTGGGTTCTGTCACGCCTGCCTATTTTAGAAACGCAGCCACGCTGTGTTCAAAAGTGGCGTGTTCGGTTTCAGAAATGTGAACTGTCACGCAGTAGCAGGTATGTGCGTATACCGCGACTCCCCTAAAGCGTGGATGGGTGTGCGTGCATATGCATTTAAACCCATTCATTTGTGAACTTGGATGCCCAGGTTTCTGAGATGGCCGGGAGTGGGCTGGCACAGCTAAAGGTGGCGACCCTGATCTTGGAGAGATGGGATTTGACTGCGTGACGTATGCCTTAGTTATCTCTCTGTGCAGGGATTCCCTTTGAAAAGTACTGTATTGGGAAACCAAGTGGTCCAAAATGCGGCAGTCCAGGTTGGAGGCATGGACTCTTGTAGAAACCATGTGGCCTTCCTGTTCCAATAGCTTCGCCGCCTGCCAGGCTGTTTCCGGGCTCAGTTCACTGGGCTAATTATGACCCTGTAAAGCCCTACAACGTAAGACCAGGTGATCTGAAAGAAAGAACAGGTTCCGCCTTACCAAACTGCACAGTTTTTAAGATTTTTTTCCCCCAGGCTTCCTCTTTTGTTCCTTCATCTACTCTTTCAGAGGGCTGATTGCAAGGATTCCAGGCTGAGGGGGTTGTTGTGTATTTTTTTTTCTTTGGCTGTTTTAAATCTGAATTGAGTTCTGACTCTTTCAGTAGCATTTTAATTCTATTGCTGTTACTCCAATTGTGTAATGTTTGCCTACCTATACTGTCATTTTGGCAGGAAGGTGGAAGATCCTGCACTCTCTCTCTGTCTCTCTGTAACACACACACACACACACACACACACACACACACACACAAACACACGCACACACGTATATATGTTTTCAAAGAGGTAGTGCATTAGTCTTTGTCAACATATATTCAAAAAATAAAAACAAAATATTGTGGCATCTGAAAGACTAACAATTTTATTTCAGTGTGAGTTTTCATGGATTATAATCCACTGTTTTAGAAAGCTCTGTGTGTGTGTGTGTGTGTGTGTGTGTGTGTGTGTGTGATTTTAAAATTATCTTATGTGAGCCAGTGTGATTGTATATATATTAAAAGGGTAGTTACTTTGATTTATTATTCTTCAAAAGCCCATTTCCAGGAGGGGTGTCATCTGGAAACGTCATGCTATTTCATACAATCATTCTAAAACTGAAATAAATGTTACCAATTGATGACAGCTTCCAGCTGCACGGTAAAAATAGCCCTCTGGTTTCACATGATCATGTTTCTTGTTAACGGAGGGTGAAGCAAACCTGACTTAACAGGACCTAGGAGGGGAAGAGTGGGTTTAAGATTGATTTTATCATGTTAAAAGATTGCAATAGACTTTAAGATAAGTGTGTGTGCATGTTTATGTGACACGATTGCTCATCCATAATTAATAAAGAAGTGAACAGCTTTTATCATTTCTTTTATTGTTTTGGCATCTTTTTTATCACATGCATGCATATACTCAGTTAAGTTAACAATGGGCTCAGCTCAAATGAATTACGTGGAAAATGTCCAGGAGTGAGGGAAGGTAGAAAGAGAAGACGAAGGGGAAGGGGGGGGGGAGAGAAATTGTGTTGTATGATAAAAGCACAAAAGCAATGGAATAAAAATTATCTCAGAATCAAAACTACTGATCCAACCGTAAGGCAGCCTGAATATGTGATATGTTTCAAAAAGAGAAAATGTGGAACTCAGATAATCTGTTCTTCAGATATAGATTAGATAGAAAACATACGTGGTGTATTTTCAGACCATAACATAACAAAAGAATGTGAAAATATGAAGCAATATAGGACAATCATGAAAGATGTAAAAAGTGATGTGTCATGAGTTTTAAGGGAAGAAAAATATCCTTAGCCTACATTAAAGAAAGAAAGAAAAAGCCCACTGCTGTTTTCACATATAGCATTGGCCCAGAACTGGTTATCAGAAACACTTCTGTAAGTCGGTCCAGGTATCACTTTATTTTGTGGCATCTTGTTCTCATCTTGAAAATCCTAGCATTCTTTCACATCGTCTTTTTAACTGTTTGCAATTGGTGACTGGCTGATGATCGTGTATTATGGCATTATTCATCCACGTCACGTCTATGAAGGTGCACATAAAGACAGCATATGCCCACACAAGTAAACAAATAAACAACACAGCGATTACATGACTAGCATTAGTATATGAATAAATATATAGTAGAAATAGCATAGAAATACTTGTTTTCAGCGACAAGATTCATTTAAATAAACCTATCTTTGCTCTTCTGCCCAAAGATACCAAATATGCTATCACTTTTAATCCCATTAGACTTTAGGGTGCCCTGTTGTATTCTAGGATGCGGTATCACACCTATTCACTTCCTTGTCTTCAGTCCATCTTTCCTCAGAATGCTTTCTATGTAGGCCAATTCCATTTACCCCTTTCCTGTTCTTTCTTAGGGCCCAATCCTAAACTTTTGAGTAGGGAAATCAAAAGGAATTCTGTGAGATTTATTCTGAAACATCAATAATTCAAAATGGAATTTCATGTTTCTGATTGTTCAAATTGAATAACCATGAGAAATCAATAATTTACATTAGTTAGGGTTGAGTTACAAATATACACCCAGCCAAAACAGAGTTGTTTATGTCTTTTATATCTTTTTTTTCCTTTGAGACTTTTTTTACATATGTAAAAACTACCCTTAGTGCTGTTGGTGTAAAATATACAGAACATTAGTAGTTTCCCATGTGAATAAAATATTTTCAAATTGATATTCTACATTATCTTAGTTACCAAGTGACTAAGCCATTTCAAACATGGCTTATTCTGAAGAAATTAAAATGAAGAGTGATCCCAGCCCATTTTACTAGGAAGCTGATTTGCTTGGGTCTTAGTTCCAAGTAAGCATAGAGAGAGGGGAAGAGCAGTAAATGCCTCTGAACTCTGCCATACTTGTTCCCAGGTAAGAATATATAAGACTGCAGTCTTAAAATCTCATTATTGCTATCAGATGTGGTGACATCCCCCCTTTAAAAAAAAGAAAGAGATGAATGACAGCATTGGAAGGAAGGAAAACTGTTTACAAACAACCTTCAAGATAAAAACTGCTGTTGTCTACAAGTTTTATTGAAGAATCATCTGGCCTTGTGCATGCTTACTTGTAAGTAAATTCAATGTATGTTACTCTCAAGTAAACATGAAGTCAAAGATGTCAGCCTGCAGGCAGTGAGGATATATAAGCTGCACAAAAACATGGTCCTATCCAGACATTTTGGTCATTTCTTCTGGGTGGTCCTCCAAAACTCCACATAGGCCTGGAGAAAATGCTATCCTTTGCAAGATGATGGAGAGTCTGAGATAAAGGAACAGCAAAACCATCTAAACTACAGGCTACAGCCTCAATAATCTAAGTGCACGGCTCTGCACGCCCCACAAGCCCGCTTCAGCATTGTCTGCTGTTTCTACTAAATAGGCTCTAACAATTCATATTTCTCAACCAGCATTCCCATCTTTCCAGACCTAATAGCCCATGAAGAAAAGTATGAAAAATACATCTCAGGAAAACATTGAAAGTACCCCACACAATGACATACTGTGCAGAAGTTTAAAAGGCCATTTAATGCAAACCTCTTTCCTTAATAGCTTCCATGTCAAGTCTTTAAAAATAATAATAATAGTGGAAATAATAATAATAATAATGGTCTTGGCCAGGTATTGATTTCTTTAATCAAGATAGTGCTAGGCTTAATTAAGCATTCTTACAAGAGACCACATTTTCTCTCATACACACACAAACACAAAAACAGAAACCTCTTCAAAGCTAGACAAAGATAAAACTATAACATTAGCCTTTTACAAGATTGTGACACCAATCTTTTTGTTATGTAATTGGATGTGCATGGCTGTCTGGTTGTTTCTAAAAGACTGTTATTTAGTGGGTCTTCCTTTTAAAATAATAACATTCATAGATTTTTGTTATTTAAAGGTGTTTAAAATCATTATGTAATCAGATTTTTTAAAGAAGGAAACCCTGTTTCTCTAATTAACCACCACTGCAGTTTTTTTTTAAAAAAAAAACCTCCTCAACTAAAACATTTATGTTTTAACATTCATTTAAACATCATAAATTGAATGCTTGCTTCTTTTAATTTTACTGGAGAGATTAACTGTATGAGTTTGCTCCTAATTTTTCCCAGTGGTCATACTTTTACTTTTCATCTTGAAAACTAATTTGCAGAATTGCTACATTTCCAGCCATTGTTATGATCTAAAGGCAGCCAAAATTTGACAGAGTACTATGTTTCTTTTCAGTTAAACTGCCTGCCAGCCCCTGTATCTTCAGTAGCAGTTGCTCCTGGTAGAGATTTGCTTTTAAGGCTGCATGAAACTTCTTTCCATATCTCTAGGCCCTGAAAGGTGGCGCTCTTCACAGGGAAGGAGTGAAGAAATGAGTTTCTCATCGGTAATATTTTCTTTAAACATGAAGTTTTTAAACTCAACTCAGCTAAACTAAAAGAAGCTCTGCCGTTTCTCACTGCCACCTTTCTTTCTGTTCTTTAGTTCAACCTTTCTCTCTTTTGAACAGAAGAGGAAAACATCAACCCGACTTGCCTTCTCACACCCCCACTTTTACAAATTGAGGAAGGCCTGTGTAAACTCAGTAAAACTGAACTAAATTTCTCAAGCAAAAGATTAACACTCAGTCTCTTCCACCACAAAAATATTGCTTACAAAATCCCTCCACATGATAAGGACTATTTCCCCATACAGTGATATATTGTGAGTCACTTACAGATAGATGCTTTAAGAACTGGAATAGCTAAAGAAATCTAGACCACAGACCATCACCACATCCTCCTAGCTTTTCATGTTAAGACTGGCTCTCCAAACTTCTAAGCTTTGTTATGCCGCTCTATTTATGTATTTATCTGTCATATTACAGTATTTCCGTGTGTGTGTGTCTCTGTGTGTGTACACACACATACACACACATACAAACACATACACACAGAGAAAGACACTGTAAATATAGCATATATATATATATATATATGCTGTAAAAAAAAAAGTCATATTGGCCTGCGAGAAGGTCAGCAGGTGCAATTCATTCTGTGACATAATATCCCAAACACGGAGAGCTTTAGCCAAGCTCATGATCTGTGTTGTCTGTTGATACGTTGTCTGCTTAATGGGGCGATCATGCAAGCTACACCAAGGAACAAAGATTAGCGTTTCCTACAAGCGTTGCTAAGTTAACAGAACCACCACAGCTTGCAAATCTATCACCCTAAACTGCAAGAAAGACAATCTGATTTAGAGAAAAAGGCGTTCTGCCACAGTCATTAAGCACAAGTAATTTAGATTTTTTTTAATATATATTGTGTTCTCATTTACAAATTTACTGTATCACCGCCAGCCAATGGAACGAATTTCTTAAGTAAATGGGGAGAAAACAAAAGGTCTAATCAAACTACATAAACTCCCACCCATCCGGGATTAGTTTATTTCTGATGTTATTGTTTCAAGAAACTATCAATGCAGGCAAAATTATAGGTAGAAAAACAACCCTAAGACAGGGCAATAATTGATTTAAATCAACTTCAGGTCTTCAAGAACATTGTGTAATGGCCTGGTTTTAGGGGAGAGAAATAGGAGGGTGGGGGGGGTGGAGCACAGCACTGCAAGGAAAGAATAAGATTTTCTTGAGACTGCAAATGATTTAAAATAAATTGTGGTTAAAGCCCCTCCATTTTTAAAATATCCTCATATAAGTTCCCCCCTCCCATAACTGCTGGCTGCAACAAAGCACACATTTCTTTTAAGATCTTTATGGCAAGACCCATC